TGTGTTATAATGGAGAAAGCACTACATTTTAAGTCAGAGTTCAAGTACCAAGATATGCCACCAGTTAACTAGGCAGCCTGCTGCATGATTCTAGATGACTAACATTTTTGTTCAGCAGGAGCCAGAATGATCCTTAAAGAGGCCTTTTCACTGTGCTTGCCAAAAGATATTGCAGGCAGGCAAAAAGCGGACAACACTTTTTGAAGTGTTTGAACTTAAAGAGTAAGGCTTCAGAAATGTTCTCCATATGCATAAAGCCTTTAGTTGCCCCCCATCCAAGCAATCCTATATGCTCTCTTTCTCCTCCCTGTCTTTGTCGGTCTCTTCCTCTCTCTCTCCCTCTCCCCCCTCCTTTTTCTTTCTCTTTGTCTCTGTATCTGTCTCTCCCTCCCCACGAAATCTTCCCAAAGCCAGGGAGTACATGCACATGTCACCTCTTCGTTCAACGATCTACAATAGCTCCCTACTAATGATGACTGGACAAATCCTAGATTCACAGGCTGTTTAAACCCAGCCTCAACCTAGCTCTCTAGTCTTATCCTCCTCTAGTCTTGTCTTTAACTCCTCCTATATCAAACTCTCCCACCAGTCCTATCAACGTTACCTTGGCATCAACTCTGTCCCTTCCTCTCTAGACCCACTGTCACTCCCATCATTAGCACTCCTATGAACTATTCCAATAGCTTCCTTATAAGCCTTATTGATTCTCTAATTTTTATTTCTCCAATCCATCCCTCATGCTGAAGCCAAAATAATCTTCCACAGAATCAAAGAATCATAGAAACAGACTAGAAATGGACTGAGGGACATGCATGTGGTCATGTTACTCTTCTGCTTAAAAATCTTCAATGGCTCCCTACAACTTAAGGACTCAAGTTCAAATGCCTTTAAAACACTCAAAGACCTTCACAACTGGGTGACACCTAAGCCTTCCAAACTTATCTCATAATATTCTCCTCCCACAAGCTCTGAGCTCTAGCCAGAGAGATCAAAACTCCTGCCTCCAACACACTTTGTACTCTCCTGCCTCCATGCATTTGTTCACACTGCTTCCTATACCTGGGATGTCCTCCCTTCCCTTTTTGTCTAACAGAAAAGAAAAATTCCTTAGAGTTGAGGTTATAAAGGAAAGAGGTTTCATGGAGGAGGTGGCTTGAGTTTTAAAGGAAATAGCCCTTAAAGTCTAACTCAAGAGCCAATTCCTCTATGAGGCTTCAATAATCCCCTCCCCTGGTCCCACCCCAACTTCACAAAGCAGAGGTATCCTAGTAAGAATACTAGATTTCAAGTCAGAAGGGACACGGGTTTGAATCCTGCTTCCAATACTTACTAGCTGTGTGGCGATGGGCAAGTTAAGTTCTCCAAGTCTGCTTCCTTCACTTCCAAATGGAGATCATACCCATAATATCTATCTCACAAGGCTGCTATACAAGTCAAATGAGATAAAGTGTGTATGGTGCTTTACATAAACCTTAACGTGCTACTTAAATGTCAGCTATTTTTCTCGTTTTGTGCCTATCTCTAACGCACTTATGTGATACTGTATATTACAATTACGTATCTTTCCCTGTGAGACTGTAAAATCCAAGAAGGAAGAGCTTCTTAATTAAACTTTGTGTCTCCCGCAGCACAGTAATTCAGCATACTTTAAGTGCTTAGTATTAGTTTGTGAACAAATGAATATATTCCGTATCCCAACCAAATTGCTGTACTCACTTTCCACCATGAAAGCCTTATCTTCCCTTACGAGTCTTGCTTATAATGTTCTCTCACTGCCTGAAATGCCTCATTCCTCCCTCTGCTTCCACCCCCACTTATTTAAACGCTGCCCTTTCTTCAAGATGCCACCTCCTCCTCCATGAAACTTTCTCTAATAACACACCAAGAGACCTCTCCATCCTCCATCTTCCAAAAGTTCTTGTTGTCTTTATCATTCATATGGGACATGCTACATGTTGCCTTGTAGCGTATTTATCTCTGTTCATGCCTTAAGCCCTCCCTACAACCTCTACTAAACCAAGAGCTTTGTGAGGACAATGGTCCCACAGGCCTTTGCAAATAATAGACGCTTAATATTTGTTGAAAGAAAATGTTCTCACTGGAGCAAAAATTAAATGACCATAAAATGATAGTGAAGAGTATACTAATCTCTTTGAGCCTCTTTCCTCATCTGTAAAATGGAGGATTGGATTAGATGATCTCAAAGCTACCTTCTAATTCCAAATTTATGATTCTCCTCTCATTCTGATTAAGGGACTTTAAAGTATAAACTTGAAGGTGAGTCATCATCCTCCTTAACCCGGGATTCCAACATCCCACTAAAAAGAGATCAAAGAATATTAGAGGATTCTAAATGTTGGAAGTCTATTCATTAAACACTGGTCCTCCTGCCTCCTCACAACCGCAAGATTACCACTGCCCTTTGTCACAGCTAGGCCCCCATGAACTATGCATGAAAGTACAGAATGATAACTGGTCAGGTAGACCTAACTCTCCATGAGGTCATTCCTAGTGTCCTGCATTTGTCAGTGCCCCATAGCTGCTCAAATTTACTTTATATTTACTTTGTATATGTATACTTTGCATATGATTTACAATAATAACTAATACTATTAACTAATAGTTAATAGAGCACATTAAAGTTTGCAAAGTACATGACAGAGTATCTCATTTGATCTTCAAAATAAACTTTTAAGGCAGATATTGTCCCCATTTTACAGAAGGAACAGGGAATACAAGGGGAGTTTTGGATTATTACATATGCTGCAGACATATTTGATGCATTGGTTCATTTGGCAAAACTGGGTTTTTTTCCTCTTTTATTCTTTGTTAGAAGGGATGACTCTCTGAGTAGGAAGAGGAAAGATATGTTCAGAAACGAAGGTCATGCAAAGATAAAAGATATCAATAAAAATAAGATTTAAAAAGCTTTTTTAATTGAAGTGAATTGAAAGTATCATGCTGCAGGATACAAGGCACTCTAACATTCTGCCAAATGTAGTGCTTAGAGCCTTGTTCTGGGAGTTAGAAACCCTGGGTTTTCATTCTAGACTTTCTGGTAATTTGCTCTGGAAACCTGAGCTAAGTCCCTTGCCCTCTTTGAGCCTCAGTTTCTTCTGCTGTAAAATGTGAGGATCATGCAACCTGATCTCCAAGGTCCTAAAACCAATCTAATAATCTTAATTTAAAACATGACTGTTTTCAAAGCACTTACACATATATGAATGTGGGCCCTTCACAACAACCCTATGAGGAAGGAATTGTAGTAGTTTTTTTTTTCATCCTAGCCTGTAATTTCATTGGGTTAAGGAGTTCCTGATCAATTAAGTCCCTTTATCAATGTAGATCAGTACCTGATAAGGAACTTATCATTTTAGAGAGTCTGGGGTCATACAGACAGTATGTGTCAGAGGTGAGACTGAAACTCGGTCTTCTTGACCCTAAAGCCAGTTCACTACCCACTATGTTAGTTTGCTTCTACAATAAGCAAAAATAATTGCCTCTATTTAATGGATGAGAAAATGGAAGTTCAGAGTACAGGCAGACTTGAAAAGCAGTGGATTCCTCATCACTGGATGTATTTGAGCAGCCTGGATGATCCCTTTCAAGCAAAGTCAAAAGGCACTACTGCTTTGGACAATGGATGACTGTCCGAGCAATTACTGACTCCCAACCCACTGTTCTTTCCCCTAGATTATCTATCTGTAGTGTATCTTACCCACTCCTGGTTGAACACTTTACACAGGAGTTGGTTTGCACTAGCATGACAGTTTTGCCTTCTTATTTCCCAAGTGCCAAAAGTAATAGCAGTGGGACAACAAAAATATGGCTCCATGAGAACTAGGTCTATTAGATTTGAGGAACCTAAACCCCATCTTGTTGAGACTTATATTTCAATAAATATTCAATTAACATTTATTAAGTTCCTACTCTGTGCAAAATATTATCAGCAGCCTTGGAATCCAAAAGACCTGGGTCAAGGTTCTGCCTCTGACACTTATCAGTTGGGACAAGTGACTTAACCTCCCTGTTCCCATGGCCAATCTCTGAGACATTAAGTTGTACAACAGGTGCTCATCTATACTAGCAGATAAGAGTTCCTCTTATTAAGGAAATCACAGGTCCAGACAGAAAAAAAATACATAATACAAAACAGACAGACATGAAACTATCCCTGACCTCAAGGAGTTTAATTTTTACTAGTGGGATTCTATAGGAAGCCTTTTCCCTAAAAAAACTCCTCCAACTTCCCCCAGTCTCAAGTGTTCCATCCCTTCTCAAATTTTCTTCAACCACTTTGTCTGGAGCTCGCCTTTGTGGTAACCGCATCCTCCTTTGTAAAATCTTTCTTTGGCACGTGCCTTTTGTACATGCCTTATCCACACCGCCAGCTCCTTGAGGACAGAGACTGCATTCCTCATTTGAATCCCCAGGCTCTAGTATAGGGTCTCACACATAGAAGGTGCTTAATAAATGTTCATTAAATTGCATTCTTTCCAACTATCCCAACACGCCCCTGCTACTCCACATAAATGGTCTGTCCCCTAAGCACACCCCACTTATCCCTGTCTCTATGTCTGTGTTCATGCTGCTGTCTTAGCCTGAAATGCCCTCCTCCTCCTCTTTTTTCTGTGCCGATCCATATTCTCCCCATCCATCAAAGCTCAGCTCAAAGCCCACCTCCTCCTGCAAGCCTTCTTTAAATTCCTCAGCCCACACTGATCTCCCCCTTTCCTGAACCTACGTCTATATCACATTTTAGCATTTAAACATATTATTCACCAATTGTTTCTTTGTGCATAAAGTCATGTCAGACTGTAAACTTGAGAGGATAAACTCTACAGCTTCTTCTTCTCCTCTGTGTCTCCCCTTTCCCCCCAAATAACCCTCTCCCCCACCCACCCCAGGCTCCACAAAGAAGCTCCAGGTTGGGCACACAATACATGTCCTGTGAATGCTTGCTGGATGGCCACTTCACATCCAAGTTGAGTCAGACTCACCAGTCAGATATTCCAGCACAGCAGCCATGTACACTGGAGCACCCACCCCAATCCTGTACTTGGGGTGTCCTTTCTTAATGTACCGCAACATCCGCCCCACAGGGAAGATAACTCCAGCCTTTGCTGACCGGGAGGTTTTGGTGGACTTCTTCTTCCCACCCCGGCTTGACATCTTGTTTTTTCCTGGATGTGAAACAGCACACTACAAAGGCAAAGGGAAAAAGCAATCAGATCTCCCACTCTAATTCTGGGATCGTCTGGAACAGGACATGCATGCACAGACTAATAGTCTACCTCATATTTGTCCAAATGAAGGCAAATAAAAGACAGTGGATTCGGTTCTTCCATCTAGACTTGAAAAGAAGACTTAAGTCCTCTTTATTCTCTTGGAATGAATTTGCTCCTCCCTCCTTTAAATGATTCCACTTTCCATGTCCGACACTGTGACATCCATTTACTTTATTTGCCATTCCATTTAAATATTACCATGAAAATGATTACTGTCCTTAAGTGCCTTTATACTGTATACTTAAAAGAGAAAATTGGATTTCTTTGCTAGGTTCTCTATGCTTTATATTTAATCATTATATTTACACAGAACTAAAACCCAGGGCTTATCTATTTGCTGACCATAAATATTTTGAAGCTACTTCACTGGCATGGAGAATGACTGAATCTTAAAATCCATGACTAACTTAATGCCTATGGTTCTAAGTGGCAAGAGGAACCACCTTTCAAGTCTCCTTGGAATTTAATTTATGGGCACCCCGAACTTGAAGGTTCTACCAAATACTTGCTGAGTCTAGAGAGAAACAGCAGGCAGTCCCTCTCCCTCCTCTAACCTGTTACAGGTGATGCTAAAGAATCAGGCAGGCAGTGAGAGGAAGCCAAGTGGGGGAAAGCAGCAAGACTGACAGCTAATATTGCTACACTTACATAAAACATACCTTAAAGATACAGGGGAAAATGCTACATTTGGAGTCCAAAGCAGTGGGTTCAAATCCTGTCTTGACTTATTCACTAATTATGTGACCTTGGGCATAGGATGTAAGATATCACGAGGGCAGGAATGATTTCATTTTTGTTTCTGCATCCCCAGGGCCAAGCCTAGTTCTTAGAACACAGTAGGTCCTCAATAAGCACTTCAATTTAAATTCTCTGAAACCTAACAGGTAGCAAGGTACAGTAGATAGGATGCTAGACTAGAAGTCAGGAAGACCCACTTCTGAAACTTAGAGGCTGTGTGATTCTGGACAAGTGCATAATCCCTGTGAACCTCAGTTTCCTCATTTGTAAAAGGAGGGAGCTGAACTAGATGACCTTTAAGGGCCCTTTCAACTCTAAATCTATGATCCTGTCCTCCTTGGCTCATATTTTTTGAATAGTAAGTTTTCTTAAGCACTCGATACCATGAACCAGTGTATGGGAAATTATTTTTTATTACATTAACAACCAGTTATTAAATTAGGATTAAGGCTTTTGCTCTTTATTTCCTCATTCAGGGACCAGCCCCTGGAAGTCAGTCAGTCAGTCTCTGAAGGACAAGACTGACAGATGAGGCTGGTAGATGAGACTGTCCAAATCCTCTGTGAACATGCTCCACAATCTTGAGTGGGACCCCACCCAACCATGAGACCTCACTTCTGCTTAAAGTACAAACAGAATCTAATCTAGGTGAATTTCAGCCCCAAAGCATTGAGTCCATGTCCTTGTACTGCTCCCTCCCCCCACTGAAATTTAGGGTAACCCAGCTCATGGAGAAAACCAACCAGAGTGGTCTGGGTAGAGACAGATTCCTTTGTCCAGATTGCTGGAGGTGGCCGAGTCTCACGATGAAGTCACATTCTCAGCAGGAGGATGTGAAGACTTTTAGCCCACTTCCTCACTAATATGTTTGGCTTCTCATTAAATTGTTCACCAATCAGGGTTGATTTTTATCTGTCAGGGGCATTCCCTTTTCCAAAAGTACATTAAGGCTTCCAGTCTCTTCATGTTTTTTGTCTTTAGCTACCGAGAGAAACCAATGACCATCAATTTATTGATTATTAACTAGGCTAATTAATAAATTGATTATTAATTACTCAGAAACTGTCTCTTGGGTTTTTCATTTGTGTCAAGTGTGATGGAACAATGAAGTTGGTGTCAAGAAATGTAGTTCACTTTACAATTCATAGAATATTTTCCTCAAAATTACTCTTTGAGAAAGTAGGTAGTGTAAATCCTATTTTTCCATTTGACAAGTGAGAAAATTGAGACTTAAGGGATTAAGTGATTCATCTACACAACTGGTAAACAGTTGACCTAAGACTAGAACCTCGGTCTTCCAGTTTGAAATCCAGCATTCTCTCCACTATACCTTGCTGCCACAGTATAGAATTCTCAGCAGAATCACTGACTATTGGCAGTTCACATGACCCCTTTATCTGCTCAGTTTCTTAATCTATGAAATGGAGCTAACATCATTAAATAAGGCCTCAGTCATCAGTCCAGAGGGCCAGTTATATATAATGTTATTTCAGCTCACTGAAGGCCATAGAAATATGTTTATAAAAACACTAATTACAGTCTCATAAACAGCACTACCAGGTACACTCTGTTCACTGCATCAGGCATTTTCCAATGATGCAACATATTTTATATCTGTCTCACTATTTCATTCTTCCCCTTTGGGGTTCCAATGTCCCTTGAGAGGCCTGGTTCAAATGTGTGTAAGCTTAATTCTTAGAAAAATCAGAGTTCTATGACAGACAAATCTGATAGGAGCTAAGGCAACTCAAGCCTTCGTTCAAAATCAATCCCAGGGGCAGCTAGGTGGCACAGTGGATAGAGCACCAGCCCTGAAGTCAGGAGGACCTGAGTTCAAATCCAGCCTCAGACCAAACACTTGACACGTACTAGCTGTGTGACCCTGGGCAAGTCACTTAACCCCAATTGCCTAAAAAAAAAAAAAAAAACACAAAACAAAAAAAACAACAGAATCAATCCCTGAGGTAGTTGTCCAAAGAAGACAGATCTTATTGTTTGTGATACATCTATGCCACCAAAGGATGGCATATTGCCCCCTAAAGGCTAGATAAAGCAGAAACAGGGCTTATGGCTTATAGTTAGAAATGCAGTCCTCAGAATTACAAGCCTTGCTCATTTAAATGAGAATGTTTATATTTGGTGTCTATCAATGCAATGCATCTCATTCCTTTACAATACCAAGAGGTCTGGATAGACTGTGTCTTATGTCAACTTTACATCTTCACCACTATCTAACAGTACTTTCAATGGTAAGTCACAGCCCTAGCTTCTGGAAATTAGTCCAACTCCCTCATTTTAGAAATGAGAAGGGAAAGATGGCAGAGTAAAAGCAATAACTTGCTAGAACTCTCCCCCAAATCCCTCCAAATACCTGTAAAAAATGGCTCTAGAAATGAGGAAACTGAGGTTCACAGAAGTTAAATGCACCAAATCAAAAAGTTAAGAGTCACAAAGGTAATAAATTACAATGCAGGGCTGCAACCTGTGCCACCAACCTCATTGGCCTGCTGTGAAGAATGCTTAATAAAAATGTTTGTTGAATGAATGAATGTGACTTAAAATAAAAATGTTTGTTGAATGAATGAATGTGACTTAAAATATTCCTTATTTACAGGTGCTTCTACCCACTAAAAGCAGGAAATGTTTGGCTCATATAATGTCTGAAGGATCCAAACCTGGCTTTGAATAAACATTTTGCTACCTTCTGCGTAGTGTTACTGCAAATTATTTCTTAGAACCATAAGTCCAAATAGAAATTTCCATTGAGTCTATGGATATCAAAGTCACGTACTGCTATTACAATTTTTAAAATGGGTGGGTGTTTCTGTATTTTAAATAGAAGCATATGAAAAAGTGATAAATATTTCCTGAAATTAGTTTAGCTCTTTATTTGAACTGTGACTTTAGCTCATAACACCCTTCAACAATCCCTGGGGGCATGGTTTACCTTAAGTAGTTAGTCATAGTTGCCTTCAGTGACTTTTGGCTAATTACAGCTAGAGAAGAGGATGACCTCTGCTCGACAGAGGAACAATTACACTTCTGTGCTTGACAGGCTCTGAAGCACATCTTGTTCCCTTGAATTAAAGTTCTCCGTCCCATTTTGTACTCAGGTATTCACAGGATCTGTTTCCAGCAGCTTGCCCTGAAAAACTGAATAGCCCCAACTTTACATTTACACCTGGCCTAGGGAAGAGCCAAACTGCCTGGCAAAGCAGAGGTGTATGGGCCAGAACAAAAGCTGGTCTATTACAGCTATATATTTCAGACTTACAGAAATTAAAATTTGAAAAAAACTGCATAAAGGTTTTTTATCTCTGTGTGAGTAATTTTTGCCAACAGCTCCAACTAGCTAAGTGTACAAGATAAATAGTTAAGAAGTTCAAAGTTTCAGTCAAGCAAGGCAGTGAACTTTCAAATAAACTTGCAACTTCAGGAAAGGGAAATATACTTCAAATAAGGCTTTGCAAATGAAATTGCCTTTTTCAGACATGTCTCAGTTTGGGGTTCAGAAACTATGGCCCCATGATTCTAGATGAACAAGGGCATTAGAGGTTTTTGTTTTTGTATTCCTCATACCTAAGTTTCAAAGAAACTGACCACCCCTCACCAGGGGATGCCTGGTTGTACAGGTTAAGGGGACTGGATTATGATAACTTTTTCTTCTAATGAAGCACCAGCTCATTATGAATGAGATTCAGTGCTAATTCCTCTTCCTCTTGCATGTTTCTGATTTGCTTACTGTCTCTTCAGCCTAACATCCTTCCCTGAAGCTGACCTGGGACACCAAAATAGCAATCAACCTAGGGAAGAAAGTTCTTCGGACTTTGTATCAAATTAAGTGCTTAGCCTGGGGTCTGTGAAATTTTTTTTACATTTTGATAATCTTATTCCACTGTGTAATTGGTTTCCTTTGTGACCCTGTGTATCTTAATTTAGGCTATTAAGAACATTCTGAGAAGGGGTTCATAGGCTTCCTCAAACTGCCAAGGGACCCACGTGTAGTACAAAACAAACAAATGAATAACAGCAACCTCTTAACTCCTCTCAGTTTTGTATAGTGTAGACAAAACAGCATTTTAAGGGTATTTTTCATACTTAGTGCACTTTATAGTCATTTCATTCCAAGATTTTTAAACCAAACTGGAGAAGGCATCTGTCTGACCAGCATGCCAT